TAGGAAGTTTGTGTGGCATTTTGATTCTGGGCGCGTGGTCCTGGCTGGTGCACTTGGGTATGGGTGCTTTTGCGAGGCGGTGCCAAGACCATTGTGCCGAGTGAATGGTGCTAGGAAGTTTGTGTGGCATTTTTCTATTTCCACTGCGCCCGGGCTCAGCGGTTGACTCGGGAGAGTGTCCACTCGCAGACAGGCAGAGACGCTCGCACGCTCCTGGTGTTGATGAGCCTGCGCTAACAGCTTTGTCCGGAAGCCGGTGTTCAAATACCCTACAATGCCCCCCAAACCCCAACCTTAAAACCTTATAAAACCTCCTGGCTCCTTCTCCCAAGTAGCAAGCGATCGGTCATTGCCACATATTGCCGGCCAAGGCGGAGGGCCGCTGTTCCTGCTGCGCCGGATGGTGCGCCAGTTGCTATTTTCAAGTTGGCGCTCTTGGGAAAAGTTAAATCTCCTTTGAAAATGATTCTCTTCGAAGGAGTCTACTGCCCTGGCAGCAAGGATTCCTGTACTTGGGGTTTTAAAGGGTCGCCGTACTTCGTATGGGGCAGAAATCCCGACTCCGAAAGTTGGGACTCTTAGGCTTGGGCTTCCGTTCCCCACGGTTTGGTCGTCGATTTTTTTCAAGCCCCGGGCCGCTCCCCGCAGAAAATACGGGCGATTTAGTAAGCGATGTTATGAGTATAGCAGTTGGGGTCATAGTGGTTACCTTGGGGTTACAAAGATCTGAACCGGCATCGGGGTTCCTGTTGCCATGACTGTCATCATGTTAGCATCGTGCAAGCTGTCGCCATCACCGTCACTGTCACTATCCTTATCATTATCGTCACGCTCATCAATGCAATCACTTTCAGATGCGCGTCACATGGCGATGCAGGTGCTGCTGCCGCTTCTTTTGGTGGTGATTGGTGCTGCTTCATCGTTCGAGTAGCTAGTTGTTGTCTTTAACTGCTCGATGTTGTCCTGACCGTTGCAGTAGCAAAGCACAGCTCCAAGAAGCTCCCGTCGGTGGATCCCTGAGATCCCTTTGTCTTCCTTCCTGGTCACCGTCGGAGCCCTGATGGCGGAGGCGCCCAAACGGGGGGGACTTTTGCCGGGGATCGGTTTCTGTCCTTGTTTGGGGCATCGTCGTCTTCAGGGTCGTAACGGTCTTGGCAGTAGGATCATAACCTATACTGGTTGCGGGGGGCATGGGGACACAAAGGAGCTAGCTGCTCGAAGGAGATTCAAGCATTGACATGGGCAGGTTCGGCAGATGTGGTTCATTGCCGTGGTCGTCCCGAGCTCGGTGCTACTGCCCTCCTGCAGGAAAGCCGGGGTCATCTTAAGACCACCGTCTAGGGTTAGGGTTTAGAAGGACCTAGGTTTCGCAACTCCCGTGTTGCAAAGGGTGTTTTCAGCTTTTAGACGAGGTTTCAGGGTGCAGGGTTACGGATTTAGGCTGTAGACTTTGGGCTTTGGAGTTGGAGGCTCGAAGTTCTGAAGGTTTCGCACGAGTGTCTGCTCCAAGCGCCCAGCAGAAAAATGTGGGAGTTCCAGAAAATTTAAGCCCTCAAGCCCTTGCAGCACACTGCTGAAACCGCTCTATAAAAAGGCCTGGCTAAAACCCTCAGGGTGTTCTGCAACCAACCATGGTACTCAGAAGACCTTAACCCTAAACCCTAAACCCTAGACCCTAAACCCTAAACCCTATACCCTATACACCCTAAACCCTGGACCCTAAACCCTAAACCCTAAACCCCGACACGAATCCACACCAGGTGATCTGTCTGAACTACGCCGGCCTCCCGAATGTTCCGCTCATGCGCTTGGCCTCCGGGCCCGACCCCAAGTCAAAGGAGGGGGCGGGTTTAGGGTTTTAGGGTTTAGGGTTTAGGGTTTAGGGTTTAGGGTTTAGGGTTTTAGGCCTTTTGTTTCTTTGTGGTTTGGGGGATGGTAGGGGCCAAGGGTTTTGGGTTCGGGGTTGAGGGTTTTTGGGGTTGTTTAGGGTTTAGGGTTTAGGCGTGGTTGCTAGCACAGCAGCTTGCCCTTGGCTCAAAGAGTCCGGGGTGTCGTAGGGGTTTTCGTCGCTCGTTTGTACGTTTGTTTTTTGGGTTTAGGGCTCTTGGGCTTCAGTTTGGGGTCTTTGAGACTTTCCTGGTGAGTCATAAGGGTAGTTGGGGGGGGTTCAATTTTCTTCATCTTCCTAGGCCTTTTGTAAGTTTAAGGGGTTCGTGAAGCCAGCATAGGGGTTCAGGGTGTTGGTGTAGTGCAGCCGGTCTGGGAAACAAGGCTCTCATGGTGCCCCAAGTCTTTCACATCCTACTCCATATTCCCATGGCTGCTGCCTTCAAGAAGCGTCCGTTATAGTGATCCTAGCGTTATTTAGAAGCCTTTGGTTCTCTTTGAGATCTGAGCTGCCGCGCCCCTCCGCAGGGTCGCGCCGCCTGGTCGCGTGGGTGAGGCCGGGAGAAAGCCTTGGGAGCCCACGAAAAATCCGTGGTAAATTCGGTGGCAGCCAGAAAGGTATCGGTATTCCAAGAACCGTCCGTGTAAGGGACTTGCAGAACCCAATGAGCTCCGAATCGAGCCTTATGAAATCCTTCCAAAACTGGAGACCCCCCCTTCCCATCTTGCGGCCCTCAGCAAAGCCCGACCGAAAGAGGCGCTGAGCTCCATCGGCATCGCAGCCCAGCTCGCCAGCCTCATCGGCAATGCGGCTTGGACGGACCCCTAATGCAAGACAGCAGGACAAGAATAAGCATGCTGAAGAACCATACGAGCCATACCGCATCACAATGTCGTGATGACTTCCCTTCTCCAAGACATTGCAATCTTGTAGGTTTCGTACCAGCAAATAGCAATACTTCCATTCAGAAAATGCTCGTGTATAGAACGACAATCAGAACACCCTTCGTGCCTGCCTTTGCCCCACGTGCTCGTGCAACAAATTGGGCACCCTCGACAGTCGTGGACAGCTCTTGCAGCTCTGTGCTAGAGTTCAGGGGGACGTGTTTCAGCAACCGTTCCTCCAAGTCAATTCATGGGATGGCTTGGGTATGTTGAGTTGGGAAGGTGGCATAGAACCCAGCCTGGAGGGGGACAAAACACCTCCATGATCAGGTTCCGAACCACTCAAAGTACAGTTCTCGCGAAGCTTACTTGGAGGCTCTTCTATGTAGTATCCCCTGCAGTCCTTATTGAAGGCATCACATACAAAGCCCAACGCCCAGATTGCCGTGGCGATCCTGAACCGATGGCTCATGAGCACGGATCTCTACGATCCTCTTTGGCGGCTTCGCTGCACGAAAGGGACGGGTTCAGGCTCTCAGGTCCCAACAAGTGACATGAGTGGTTTACTGGAGTCAAAGGGGTATACCTTATGTATCTAGGGTCATTACGGGGGTATCTTATCTATCTAGGACCCTTATGCGAAGGGCACGATCATTTCGGCACCTGTAAGTGGGGTCCCAATATGTTTCACTGCATGTCCCCGTTTGATCCACTTGAGCACGCGCCTTTCTTCACCAAGGATCTACTATCCCGTGTGCGGCACACTCTCGCTCTGCGCGATCATCCCGCTGATCGGGAGCGAGACGTTAAGTCTTGGAGGGGTCTTCTGCCTCTGGAGTCCAGCAGTTCGTGCGGCGTTTAGGTCGGGCCTATTCCTTGAGCCCTGAGCCCAAAAGCCCGTGTCCTGTGGCCACCCTAAACCCTAAACCCT